ACAAGCTGCAGTATTTTCTGTTCGATATAAATATAAAAATACTTAATTATTGCAATTTATCATTTCAAATGAGTTAGCAGGTCTACTTGAATATCGTTATTGTTATCGATAAAGCGCTGGTCTGCCGCTTACTCATTGCGGAAAACGTGAAAGAAAATCGTATTGCCGCCTGTCTGCTACAAAAATTGATTGTTTTAGCTAGTATAAACGTGTAACGGCAAATCCATCACTCCAATATGGTTAGTAAAGATGTAAATTAGCATGTGAGAAATGCAAATGCAGCGATTTATTTAATTTATTAAAATGATGACACACACTAATAATTTTAAACACCATGTGCGCCGCGTGACTATAGTTAATTTGTATAAATTTTCAATAAGTGAGATCAGCTAATAATATACGCAACAAGTTCTTATTGAACTGCATTCAAATGCAGCTGTCCATCATGCGGCACACAGAACATAACCTGCAAAGAAGCTTCTCGCAAAACCGACAACCCCTGCAGTGCCCTCTCTTTCGCTCTCGCTGCAAGCTGTGTGGAATGACAGAACGGTTGACTAACTTACTGTTATATTTTGTTTTCATCTACAGCAGCCACAAATTGTGCTCCTGAAGGAAGGCACCGACACGTCGCAAGGCAAGCCGCAGTTGATATCGAATATCAATGCCTGCCAATCGATTGTGGATGCAGTGCGAACTACCTTGGGCCCGCGCGGCATGGATAAACTGATTGTGAATTCACAAGGCAAGGCAACAATCTCAAATGATGGAGCCACCATCATGAAGCTCTTGGATATTGTACACCCTGCCGCCAAAACATTGGTAGACATTGCCAAGTCACAGGACGCCGAGGTAAGATTCGAGTCAGACATTTTGTTGGTCACGTGACTTAAATATCAATCAACAGGTGGGTGATGGCACCACCTCGGTTGTGCTGCTGGCTGGCGAGTTCCTCAAGCAGGTGAAACCCTTCATTGAGGAGGGCGTCCATCCACGCATTGTGATCAAAGCCATACGCAAGGCACTGCAGCTTTGCATGGAGAAGATCAACGAGATGGCAGTGCGCATTGAGAAGCAGTCCAAGGAGGAGCAGCGTACACTGCTGGAGAAGTGCGCCGCAACGGCCATGTCTTCCAAGCTCATACATCAGCAGAAGGATTTCTTTTCGAAAATCGTTGTGGACGCTGTCCTCTCGCTGGATGAGCTGTTGCCACTGAATATGATTGGCATCAAGAAGGTTGCCGGCGGCTCACTGGAGGAATCCCAGCTGGTCTCTGGTGTTGCATTTAAGAAGACCTTCTCGTATGCCGGCTTCGAGATGGCTCCCAAATCCTATGAGAAGTGTAAAATAGCTTTGCTCAACATCGAACTGGAACTGAAAGCAGAGCGTGACAATGCCGAGATCCGCGTGGACAATGTCAAGGAGTACCAGAAAGTCGTAGACGCCGAGTGGCAGATATTGTACAACAAACTGGCCAAAATCCATGAGTCCGGCGCCAATGTGGTGCTGTCCAAGCTGCCAATTGGCGATGTTGCCACACAGTATTTTGCCGATCGTAACATGTTCTGCGCTGGCCGCGTCCCCGATGAGGATCTCAAGCGTACAATGAAGGCCTGCGGCGGCGCCGTCATGACCACGGCCAACGACATCAAACCTAGCGTACTCGGTTTTTGCGAACGTTTCGAGGAGCGACAAGTGGGTGGCGAACGATTCAATCTATTCCAAGGTGGGCCCTAAACACTACCGCTAATGATAAGCTCTAATAACATATATTACATATATATCCTGCAGGCTGTCCCAACGCTAAGACCAGCACACTGATCCTTCGCGGCGGAGCTGAGCAGTTCCTCGAGGAGACAGAGCGCTCTCTACACGATGCCATCATGATTGTGCGTCGCACCATTAAACACGATTCGGTCGTTGCCGGCGGCGGCGCCATCGAAATGGAGTTGTCCAAGGTGCTGCGCGACTATTCGCGCACCATTGCTGGCAAGGAGCAGCTGCTGATTGCCGCCATTGCCAAGGGCTTGGAGGTGATTCCACGACAGCTGTGCGACAATGCTGGCTTCGATGCCACCAACATTCTCAACAAGCTGCGCCAGAAACATGCCCAAGGTGAGTGAAAAATTACCATAGGCTTCAAGCTGACAGTTATTGGCTTCCTTATTCAATAATTGATTCAATTCAATACGCTTCCAGTTCAACTTAGATCCGACTAATCGGATTTCTTTGGATATAGACTTTGAATAATTGTATTTTTTTATTGTATTTATATTTAGTAGT